CATGCAGTTATCTCCTATTAGCAATTACTGGTTTCTGAGGAAACAGGCAATACGTTTAGCTTACTGTGGGCCTGTAGAAACTTCGTAGGGAATACACCAAAATTACACAGGCTTTCCTTACACCATAAAAGCCTTCAGAAATAAATAAATGCCAGACTGTGTAAATGTCACATGCACACAAGTTACAATAAACAAATATAATACCTGATGTGAAATGTATTACTAATGCAAATATAAGTAAAGATTCCTAACTGCTTTCAGTAATGGTAGCAGGCTAAGTACTGTCTGGTAGGTGTTCACGAGGTCAGCTGCGGTATTACGCAAACATGGCTGTGTCACTTGAGCCCTGAATGTCTTCTGGGACTCGGGAACACAAAATATAGACATCCTTAATCTGTGCCTTAGTACTAGGATGACTCAGTCTTTGAGATCATCAGACAGAAAGTGATTTAGGACGTATCATACCTCAACTCAAAATCTTAGGGAGTGACTGGAATATGCCAACCTGGCTTTTATCAGGCTGGCAGATCCTATATAACACACCAGAGTGGGTGGAATTACTCCCTTTACTTTCAGTTCTGGGTGAATAAATTTTATATTAGTATTTTATGTTTCTGAAATTACTACAAAAATTACAGAAATCTACAGTACTAAAAACATTAGATAGCTTACTTTCATCTTTACGGCTCCACCCCAGCCACTTTTGTATTAATACAGCAGGGACAACTCTTCATACTATCCTGCTGTCTACAATAAAGACAGTGCAACAGCAGATTCTTCATTTTTTCTTAACGTCTTCTTGCTTAGCTCCATAAGTGGCTATAAAGTTCATGTTCTTACATGGTTTGACGACTCAATAATTCAAAATAGGAAATGCAGAATCATTCATTTATATTCCACATTCAGCTTTGCCTCTTTTTTCTTTTTTTGATTTAAAGTGTTTGTGTGTCTATTAACTACAAGGAAAGGAAGGATGCTTACAGGATTCTCCAGAGTAGAAAGGCATATACTGAAGTCCCTAGCGCATAGGTTTTTGTTCAAGTAATGAGAAATCTAAGTAATAAAAACTTGGCATGCTATCTCAAAGATCTATGTCTAGTTATCTCAGCATCTAGTGCACACACTTTTGGTGTGTGCTACAGTGCTACAAACGACGTTTGTCAGGCAGGCAGGCATTTTTGCATTAGGTTGTACCTCTGTAAATGAAGCGTTTGCTCTTGGGAGGGCGGACGGCTGGTTTTGCAGAAGACAGTGTCAAGGTGTTGATCACTTTAAAGCAAACTGTTCCTTTTCTCAGCAGTTATACATTCTGGAAAAGAAATGGCGTAACGAAAAAAACAGAGGAGCAGAGTTGCTGATATTGGCAAGTTTACTAAAGATTTTTAAATAAAGATACATAAACCGTAAACTTGAAAACCAAAGCGCTATGTCTTTGATTGCATACAGAGCAAGAGATAACTCCCCTGGTGTCCACTGTCACGTGAATTTTTTCTACTCTCTGTAGTCAAAAAGGCAAGATATTAAGTATTTCTTATTACAAGAAAAAGTGTATGGCAGAAACAATCTGTGTCATCCATTTGACAGCTTCAGCTCCATGCACGCAGCTCAGTCTCTCTGGCAAATGCCCCGTTGTTCAGAAAGGCAGCAGTACAGCGCATGTCCACGCTGCACACCACCTGGCACCAAAGAGAAAATGTCTAATGCTTGTGGCTCTGGAGGGGAAAGTCATACATTTAAACAAAGCTCCCAAAAACGATAAAGGAGGCAAGCTCCACAGAAGAGTGCTTAACTTGAATTTGCCAGTACATTTCATAAATGGCCTTGACCAGGTCAGAAGACTACATTGCACAGAGAGTAATTTTACTACAAAACCTGAAAGGTGCAGATTTGCCCTTTGCAAAGCTGTTTTACTGATACTGTGTAATACAAAGTGAATATAGTCCAGATTTCTTAACACTTTTTAAAACTATATGAAGATAACGAAGTATAAAAGATGTTATTACATAGCACTATATATTATTCTGATCTTCGCATTGATTCAGGTGTGAACAGGTGCATTTTCACAGTTCAGAATCAAAAAGGAAGGCCTCCTAAAAGAAACAACAGAAAGAGCCATAATATCTTTGATAAGACTACTTACATTGACAACTAACTAACTGGAATTGCCTTACTCCATGTGAGAGTTCTTAAAAAGCTAGAATTATTACTATTACATTAATTTACTTCCCTTAGATAACAATCATATTAAAGTTTAATATTTTGTTTTTTTTTTTTTCTTTCCTCACAAAAGATCCAAAGGAAAATCCCTGGCAACTGGTAATTTTTTTGCTCCTGTTTCCAGACTGGGCAACAGTTCTGAGATACTCTATCTGCAACCAGGTTCTGCTTGATGCTGTACATAGAAAGGACAAACCACTATAAAAAGCTTACCACGAAAGCACAAGAGAGGGCAAAGCCAGGCGCTACAGGAAGACAACACAGCACGAAGGACGCAAGGAGACAATATCGACCACCACAACAAGCCACAAGCGTAGGCAGCAGTTGTCACTTATCATGGCCATTTTTGGGGTAAACAGTATGGCAAAGAAGCTTTTTAAAGATTAATTTTAAGGTGGCTGAGGTAACCTAAGAATACATACAGGTGTGAGATGAAGAACAGGAGAGGGAACAAAGGAGGTTTTTTGAGCATCAAAAGACAAGAATGTTATATTTAACGTGGTGGAAAAAAAGGGAGCTAAGAGACGCACACGGCGAGAAGAGATGGTTGACACAAGCAAAGCAACAGACTAAAAGTGGCCTGCATAGCTGTCCCTGGATTGGGAAGAAGCAAAGCAAAGTTGTCTTTACTAGTAAAAAAATGAAAAACTAAATAAAATTGCCAGTTATGTAATGGATATGAAATATCTGTTGAAAGATGCATGTGGATAGGAGCAGACTTGTTAAGCAGCAGGCATCAGCACATTCAGATCCAGTATGGATGCAAGAATCTGTGAGGTCAGACTGGCAGGGAGGATGGGTGTAAAAAAAAAAAAAAGGAAAAAGAAGAAAAAGGTGAAGCTCTTGGAAGAATGATTAAAAGCCTTGTTTTGAACTTAGAAATATGAAATCTCTGAACATCAGTGGTGTCACATCAAGACTGGAATTTGGTCAGAAACAGTCTGCTCCAGCCCAGAAGGATAAAGCGTGTACATCATTAGTATGAAGGTAGCAGCTGAATGTGTTTGAGTGTAAGATTACTGAAAAATAAGCTGTGAAAGGAGAAAAATAGGAAACCGATAATGGGTACAGTAATTGTAACATATAACCTACATAGCAACCGTAACAAGGAGAAGAGAAGATAAAAATAATGTACAGCTACATAAAGTTGGTACTCTGCAGTCTCCCACATTATTACTAGCTCTGCTTCCACATTCAGGCTGAAGGATTTGTTGTAAAGCTGTGCCCTCTGCCTACCTAATGCAACTTCTCTTATACATTACTTTTGCTTTTGAAAGAGGTAAATATATCTAAGAGGTCAATGCTGCTAGAGAAGAAACTCAGTAGCTATCTGCAAGCGTCAGCTTCGTTCGGTCATGAAGCATGGATGTTCCTCCTGTAACGCACTGTCTTTCTAGCTTTAAGTCCCATTATTGTTTTTTCACTGTCATTCCTAAGACAAATGTATTTTCCACAGAAGTGCATTAAAGATTGCTTGGTGAAGCTATAAATACCTCTAAGAAAATAACTGATATACACAGAGAAATCCTACTCGATGTCAGCTAATCGGTAACTTCTTGCTACAGCTTTTACTGTTTACGCTGTTACAGACACACAGGACCTGTATGAAGTCAAAATCAGGCATCCCACAGCTGTCAAAAATGATATCAAATGTTATTGACAGCTGGAATTTACAATGGTCTCAGGAAAACGTGCATCTGATATCAAACGGCATCTTATTCTCTGTTCTTTTGCCCTTACATTTCACAGGATCAAGGCTAAACTAATCTGTAAACTGCACAGCGAGCTCTTGGTAGAAAATGCATTTTGCAGGTACATATCACTAAAAATTAGCAAGAATGCAGTAAAGCAGTAGGTCAATTATATAACATAATCATAAGCATCTTGAGCATCACCATGGGCGTACACAGCGCTGTTTTGATTGCTCACCAATCAGTACTCATTTTTAAAATTTGATGTATGGGAAGAGAGTAAAACTTTTTCCTATCTTTTGCATTTCACGTTCCTGGTTCTACATAATCTTTCAATCTTTAGGCAGTTTTCAGGATGTTATTTTTGGTTAATACCTGTGAGAACTGCTATTTCTAGTAAATATTGCATTTGGCATTAGGGCATCTCTCCATAATTGCTGTCAAACCATGTTAACTACTTATTCTGGAAGAACTTGGAGATGACCAGCTACCTGCTGGGACAGAGATAAACAGAGAGACGTAACAGCTTCTGAACACAGGTAAATGCCACGACACTCAATATTAAAAACAGAAATAAGATGCCAGAAAAACTTTTGAAAGTTAAAATCCTTTTAAGAAAAGTAGAAGTAATTGAGGCCTGTAATTTTCAGTTAGTTAAAGCAGAATCCTCTGAAGTGGAAATAATAATCTGCAATAATAATAATAATAATTCATACTGTGCAGCTGCAACAGGCACCCTTGTCATTTCCATTCATTTTATTCAAAAATTTAGAAAACCTTTTTCTCTCCATGTAAATTTCTCCTATTGAACTTATTTAAATTGATAGGACTGATGCAGCACAAAACAGTGCAAGCCTATTTAAGATGCATATCAACTTCTTTTGATTCTCTGTCATTAGTAAATGGCTGCATGCAGTTTTGATTTTAAATTCGAAAACCAGCTAATTTTAGCATTGCTTAACGTTGTAGTAAAACAAGCAGATTTATCCAGTTGGGTCTTGGAAAACCCAGGGAGACTGCACAATCTCTCTCCTGGGGATACGAAGCCAAGGGGAATAATCCCTTCCCTCCATCTCCCGGCTGCGCTCCTACCAACGCCGCGCGGGCAGTGGGGGCCCGCCTTTGCCACCTGCCCACCCGCCCGGGGCGGTGGGGCCCCGCCTTTGCCACCCGGGCACGCTGCCGAGCCACCTTCAGCCCCGGGCAGCAGAGCTGCTCGCCGGCCAGCAGCCCCCAGTTCTTCCCATTTCTGGTCTAACAGAATGCTGCTGGCCATAAGCTGGAAGTCACCAGGCCTAGAATTCAGTGCTACCAAAGGCGGGATAATTTTGCTGTTTGATAACCATTTTAAAGAGACATTTTTTTCCCTCTTTTTGCATAGCATTTATACTTCTAGTGTCCCAGAATAAGGCTCACTCTTTTGCATACTAAAGAAATAACAAAACTGCAGGAAACCTTTCCAAATGCTTAGTAACATCAATACCTTCAGCAAATTAAGCATGCCAAGCGACCAAGTGAAGACATAAAAACTGAATACCGCTGTTTGAGAAGCATCGCACAGATAACAGGATTGCAGGAAACACTGGCTTCAGGACAGAAATAATCAAGTAGGAAATTTTCATTTTTTAGCCAGTGCCTAGACAGTTTCAACACACAGAAGAAATCTGTGAAAAAAGGTTGGAAGAGAGGCTGGGAAACAAAGGGCCACCTGCGAGACTGGGTAACTGTTTCTGGATCCCTGCTGGCATCTCCTGCCTGCCAGAGGCTTCTGCATGCGAGAAGTCCTGGGAACAGGAGAGCTGCCGTCAGACCAGGCCTCCCTTTAGCCTAGAATACCTTGGATAGCAGCTAAAGGAAAAGTAAAGCCACATACATGATATTTGCCCTAAATATTCTGCTTCCCAGCACTGGTAGCTCAGAGGCCTCCTAAAACAGACTAAATTTAACTAAATTCTAGTTTTACTCCCATAACCCATTCCACTCACTACAAAGCACCAGATACGGTTGCTCTCTTCCCTGAAAGTATAGGCTTTACTTTACCAAAGATCTACGAAACATACCCTGATTCTATGTGGAACAATTACACCAAATGCTCTCAATATTTAACCTTGCCCACACTATGAAACAGCCACAGGAGGCCATGGGAAGAGACGGGAACCAAAGCTCAGGAGGACAGACAAAGCAACGAAGCAGGAATCCATAATGTCTAGCTCCAGAGTTAAATGGCACAAGAAATATTGTTGAATAGCTATTTACCACAAATTCTGATGCTAATTTATTGTACTGGTTTTCCATACTAGGGCAAAAGTCTAAAAGTCCCCTATTTTCCCCTCCCTGTATGATCCCACCATCCACGACTGTTAAAAGCAGGTAGCAGCCAGGAGGGCTCTACAGACAGTTCGTGAAATCTCTTGATCATTTCTTTCTACCTTTCTCGCAGTTGTATATTTGGGAAGTAATCTGGAAAATAGCTGCTGAGATGGGATAACTGCAGTATGTTTAAGTATCTCCATAGCACCAACCTGCCTTTGTTTTTGGTATGTGAGAGTACATTGCATTTAAGCTTACCTTCACAAAGAGAAACCTCCTCCTTCCACCTCTTCCTGTCCCCCGAGAACAGGGCAGGCTGGTTGCTGTCTCACAATTTTCCCTGAGGCTTAGCTACCTCTGTCTCTAATGGTCTCTAATGGCGTCCTAGCAACAGCCACAGCTGAATAATAAAGGGATGGCAGGAGGGGGACAGAGGAGCAACTTCCTCCCCCAACCCCCACCACACTTGTTGCTTTACCCCAACGTGCTGCCTACAGCTTGAACAGGACAGTTCCCTTCTCAGCTACACGAAGAGGTCACCAGAGGTAGGAATTCCCCCTCCCCATTTCTTATTAGAGGGGTGGGGGAAGCACAGCACACACTTTCTTCTCTCCTATTACTCCTTTCAAGATGTTTTTTTTATTGTTTTCCATTTTCTTTTTCCCCTTTGAACCAGGTTTGCAGAAGTTCCTGCCAAACTACATTTAGAGCTACAAGAAACTTTAATCTAGTGCCTTGAAAACACCCGGTGGATCCTCATTTCCCCTCCACTCAGATCTCCTGTTTGCAGTTCAAAGTTTCATGACTCTCCACGCACACACAAAGGAAAAGAGACCCAAGGGTTGTTGCTCCTCCACCCCCAGCACAGCTCGATGTCCGATCCACACAGGCACGTTTCAGTACCAGGAGACAAGGACACAGCATTCCTCTAAAGGTCGCTTCTGCCCCGGCCCACTGAGGCAGTTACCCCTTCAGCTATTCAGCCGGTCTCAGGCAGCAGAGCTAGGGTGTGTGTTTCCTACCTGCTGTATAAACACACATGGATGTTCTGGTAACATACCGTGCAGCTTCTGCTGCTGTGCTGAGGGCACTGGAGTTGGGGTGACTACTACTGCTCTTGGGGCAACCAACTACGCTACTAAAACCACCATGCTTTGGGAGATACAGCCAGCCCAGAGCACACAGCTGTGAAAGATCACCCATAGCATGGAGGTTTTCCAGTTCAAGCTATCAAGAGACAAGGAGAGTAAAGTAGGAGGAAGGCACAAAAAGCCCTGAAAGGCTCAACTACCAGTAAACTTCCCCACCCCTTCCAAGCTTTTTATTTTTCCCCACTCTGCCAGCAGCTTTAGCTATCAAAAAACATTTTGATTTGGGGGAGGTATGTTTGCATTAGAAACAAGGCATTAGCCCTGAAGTCTGGGTCGCCTTTCATGTCCTGTTAGAAAGCCTCTGCAGAGCCACAGGCTCCCCTGATGGGAACTGGTATTACTCAGCTGAGGACAGGCTGCTGAGAACAGGTGGGACAGGGCCCAGAAACTCCACAGGTGCCAGACCTCCCTTCCCTCCCTCCTGCCGCAGCCAGAAACAGGGGCACAAGGAATGCAGGCACTTGGCATTTCATCAGTCCCAGCCCTTAGGCACCCACCCTCCCAGCAGAGGAGAGCTCAGCAAGGCAAAGAGGGGTTGCGTAGTAGGGGAACCAAACCCAGATATGGTTGAGGGGAAAGGAGGAACAGTCTATGCAATTAAATGATGGGAGCAGTGTGCCTGTGAAAACTTCTGTATCAGGTCAAGTTTGGCAGTGGGCATGGGGATTTTAGACATTCTTGGAATTAATTCTTGTACATCTTTCTACAAAGTATGAAGTAAAGAAGCACTACAGCTTAGAATCCTAGAATAGTTTGGGTTGGAAGGGACCTTTAGAGGTCATTAATCCCAGTCCCCCTGCAATAAGCAGGGACATCTTCAGGTAGATCAGGTTGCTCAGAGCCCCGCCCAACCTGGCCATGAATGCTTCCAGGGATGGGACATCGACCACCTCTGGACAACCTGTGCCAGTGAGTCACCGCCCTCATGGTAGAAGACTTCTTCCTTATATCCAGTCTAAATCTACCCTCCCCGAGTTTAAAGCCATTACTCCTTACTAATTCATGTCAAACACGATACTACTAAAACTTTTTTTTTTTTTTAGATTCTTGCTTTACACAACGGAAAAAAAAAAAAAAATCACTGCAGCAGCTCAGCAGCAGCTATCAGTGCTCAGATGGCACTTCTTTCCATGAATGACTTTTTGCTGCTCTTGTTCATTTAGGACATGAAAAACCACCCAAGATAGTAACTGATGGCTGGTGTTCTCTAAAACCAGTTGAACTCATCATGTTAAAAAAGCCTCTATTTTCAACAATAAGACTCCTTATTGTACCTTATACACAAAACAGTTCAGTACTAAGATGACTACATGTTCTCCTGAGGGCCACATAGTCCTCAACAGGCACCTGCACACACCTAGCACTGATTTTAGTGAGCTTTCCCTTCATCCAAAGTTCCTGAAAAGGAGGAATCCCCAAGATTTTGCACCACCCCTCTACTTGTTCTCGACTACTCTTAGACACTACAGTTCTGTTCGTAGCAAAGTACTGCTGTCATGCCAAACTGTGACTCTTCATTTGTTCTTACCATTTACTATCTTTACCTTTTCAGCCAGACTGCTCTTCTAATAACACTAAAAGCTGCCCTTGCTAGGGCAAAACAAAAGGTCTCGCCCAAAAGGATTTCATTCACTTTCCAGGCCAGCTCCTTCCTTGGTGTGCTGAAAGCAACAACCAGCACAACAAAAATCAGTTGTCACCACAGGCACTTGGTTTTTTTCCTTCCTTTTTAAACAGGCAACCAACAACCTATTTTCCCCGCTGGAAGAGAGTTATACAATGGCCATATATCAAATCTGAAAGCTCCTCAAAATTTCAAAGTCGATGAAAGCCAGATTCTAGAGGGAGACAACATGGGTAAAAAAATATCAATACACATGATATTTTAATACAAAATATTAGCTTTTTTCTTTTTTCTTTTTTTTTTTTACACAAGTCAGTTTTTTAAAATATAGAACCTTAAAAAATGAACAAATTGCTATCCACACACTATAAACACTTTTTGTGCTGTTCGATCAAGTTATCAGAACAATTTAAACACCAGTCCATAAACACTGCCTTGAAGTTTTATGAAAACTATGCCGCTCTGTGCACTACCATTATTATATGTACAGTGTGAAGCGCCTTCTTTCAGTTTTAATACTGTAGTAGAAGCTGTTCAGTTATCAGGTTCTTTGTGCAAGGATTTCACATTGCTTGTGACAGATCTGCATTACATTTCAGTGGCACTGGTATGAGCAACCCCATGTAATTCTGTGAATGTTCACTGGAAGAATGTCCATTACATGTACTGAAATACATATCCTGGAAGTACAAGTTCTTCAGCTAGATAAAAGAAAACTTGTTATTGTTAGTTTAGGGGAAATCCTAGCCTGATTAGCCAGACTTTAACAATTTCTAAGCACTGAATTTTGATTTCTCAAAGTTGAATAAAATTAAGTAACTATCACGTTTTCATAGAGATGAACTACATAGCAGGTACATCTCACGAATATTTGTAATCGCCCGGTTTTTGAACCCATAGAAAGAAAAAAATTTCCCTCTGAGTTGGAGGTCTTAAAAGGTCTTGTTTTAGTCGTAAATCATCCACAAGTTACAGGCTGTTAGCCAAGTAGATTTTCAGATGATTTACTTGCATTACAGTAATTTACACAATTGAACTTTATGCATACACTACAAAACTATGAACAAAAAGGTGAAGCAAACTTTTTTATTTATATTCAGGTAAAAACATTAACCTGATGAAGTAAATTATTGCAGATTTGAGAAATCAGCACATAAAACAGTTGGACAGAGCATTGCTTACAGGTGCTTTATCTGTGTCAAAAGACAAAGGCTGAACTGTTTGTTCCAAGGTAGCGCTGGGAGAGGGGAGGGGAAAAAAAAAAAAAAACCAAACAAAAAGAAAAAAACTGCAGAAGTAACCAGGAACTTAGATCAAGAACAAGAAAACTGTTTACTGAAACAGGGAATGAAACAACTAATTTGTCCTTTAAAAAACTTTACATCAATTCGAAATGCTCTGGCCTTACCACAATACACACTGGCCAGCCCAAGCTGTTGGACTTCAACTACACGAAAGAAATAATTCTTCCCAGCCTCTAGTAAGAGGCTTTTGCTCCTGAATCACTGTGTAAACAGCTCTAGAGCGTTGACTGGTAAAGGCTGTCACCATTATATCCTACCACTACAGTAAAACTATGCTATAAGAAAGGTTCTACCTAGTTACAAAGGCTGAATTATATTGACAATATATATTTGATTTCAGTAAAATTTAAATTATCTTAATCAGAGAAAGAGGCATGGAGCAGTCAAATGCCCATGCTAACCAAAACATAACAATTGTTGAATGTTGCACACAAAAAGAACCAAGTGAATTGCACATCAGACAATACATGAGGATGGGTAAAATTAGAGGCAGGTGAAGGTACACAGAACTAGTCTACTAAACTAGATTCGTCAAATACATGGTGTATTTTAATTTCTGTACTTATGTACAAAAGTTGTCTTTGGAGGAAAAACTTCATACTTAGCTAGATGGATACACACAGCCCAGTATTAAACTGCACAGCGACATTTATTGTTCCAGCCTGGAAAAACATCCCTTTTTAAATTTCACACAGCAAAGCAAGTTAAAAACTTCACTCATCAAATAAATGATAATTTAAACAAGAACTTGCTAAAGAAATCTTGTCACAACAACTTTTAGGGCCTGATCACTTTAAGTCCATAGGGGCCTTTAATGAATATCAACCAAGTGTCTTTGTTTATAATCTGCAAGCCGTTTTTCTACAACAAGAAGGCGTAACACGTTTCCTTGACTCAGGTGATATATTTAGAAAAGAATCATGAGTTTCTCTTTTGTTGTAACAGGCAGACATTGTATTTTTCATTGTGATCAGGAAAGATGGAATGACTGCTGCCCTTCTCTTGCAGCTATCAAGAGTTTTTCACGCATTATCTCAATAGTTGAATAGTCCGGCAATTTCAGATAGTTCACACAAGTCATTACTGAGGGCAAGAAATCATCTGGATTCTCTGTAGACTCGAATGTCTTGCGTACAATTGTCAATGGAGGATTCAAACTTCGAAAGCCTATTAATGAGAAAAGACATTCAGAATAAGGTTGTTCCTCTTCAAAATCCACAGTTAACACTGTAGACATCTAACCATGACAGAAGCATGCATCTCAAAAACAGAGATTAAGTAGTCAGTTAAGACTTTAGAATATGGCTTTATAAGCCCATGTTGCAAGCTAAAAAATAACTAAAATCCTTTCTGTAGATTAGTTTTTCAAGATGAATTAAAAAAAGAACTAAGATAGACGCATCTACTCTTAATTGTGTTCTGTATGTGTAACAAACCTATTCCAGTCACAATATTATTGAAGCGTTTTTTGGTTTCACACACATTTTCTAAGATTCTCAGAAATTATCTATGACTGTTGTACTAAGGTACACCACTACTCCAGCTACGGTTTTTATACTCCTAGCCCTCAATCCTGTCTGTACCATCTCTCCCCAAAAGAATTCTACAAAAAATTTTTTAAAAATAATCAACCTTCTTACAATTGTCAATTCTTTAACCAGGAAAGAAAAAAAAAAAAACCCAAACCCCAGAGAACATAAGTAATGGAACAGATGCATAAATTTTGTTTTTACTTGCAAAGCATTCAGCTGAGAATATGGCAAAATGTGTATTCTACAATGGTCCCTAGCAAAGACAGCAAATTCCTCGGTTTTCCTCACTGCCTCTCATCTAAATTCTGAAATTCAAAAAGGGGGAGAAATTGAAGTTTATCACTATGCTAGTATTATCTCCTTACTAGGAAAAAAAAAAAAAAAAAAGATTGTTTCCAGGTAGCAATGCTTAGCATTGTCATAACTTCATGCACCTCTAGCCAAGGAATATAGTATTAAGGGTTTTCATTTTTGTTTAAGTTTTGAACTACTTTTTGCCCCCTGGTAGGTCAATCTGGGACCACAAATTAAACCTGCAGAGAGTCAACTGAATGAAGTGTCATGAGATTAACATCAAGTCTGAGAATTCTGCCTTAAGTCTACCCAGCCAGTTCTGAAACTAGAAATGTCAAGCAAAGTATGAACCTCTAAAATACAGATACTTATTTTTTCCTATACTGAAGTAATCTACTTGTGAAACGCATCAATAATACTGAATTCTTATATAGCAATACATAAGAAAAAACCTACCTCCTACAGGCAGTCTTGGGCTACCTGTCACAAACTGAAGAAACAGTCTTTGCTGCTCACTATCAAAGCTACTGAGAATTTCAAAGAGATACTTCACTGCTCGACTAAGGAGGGAAAAAGAGCAAGCTATTATTATTCTGTTTAGAGTTAAAATAATTGCATTAGATTCATATTCAGTGCAGTATGAATATTTTAAAATAAATGTCATATAACTCTTAGCTTCAATAACAGTATATCATTTAAGTACATACTTTCTGGTGCTGTTTTTTTTTTTTTTTTTTTTTTTCAAAAAAAAAAAAAGGCAAGACCAACACCATATTACCTGTCATGTGTATATCCGTGATCTGGCCTACAACATTCCATTAAAGTCTTTGCATCCCAAGTATCCGTTTTACTGCCGCACAAGAGCTGCTCCAACTACGAAATTAAGAAACAAGGAAGGAAATTTTCCCTTTAGAACTTGAGGTAGAATGAGCACTGTCCGTTCTGACTATCATTACAGCATTCCGCTTTCTGGAGTGGCCTTCTGCAAAAACAACCGCAGTCACCCCAGCAATGCTTGCAACTTTGAGTGCAATAGCTCCATCCCAGTGACAGCCTCATTTGCTGAATCTGCCTTTGTATACAATGCACTGCCGCATGAGATGCCGAACCTACCTCTTGGAACAGAGACAGTCCTAATGGGCAATTTACACTGGAGAAGCAAAATGCGTTAACTTTTTGGAAATGATTGTTTTAAAAGAAATCTAGGGGAATGTGAAGAATAGAGTGTTTACACTTGCTTTTCAGAACTCTGAGCTCTTCTTTGAAAGAAAAAACCACAATCATTAGACAGAAATGGATCTGTCAGGTAGTAGTTCTGTACTTAAATTATTCTGCCTATTCTTTCTATACACTTGGGCAATCAGAGATGACAGGCTACAACCGAAACAGTAAGAGCTTCTATAGACCTCCTTCTAGAATACACGAGGAGGTGTAAAGCCCCAGTCTCAATAAAACGAGAGGCTTGACATATCTAGCTGTTCTGTTCATGAACAAGAGAATTTTACAAGTTCTTTGTAATAGTTTAGGAACGGTTTGTAAAAAGGTTCAAATGGCTGCATTGCTATCAGCGACAGAACACAAGATCACACATGCACATCGTATTAAGGAAAGTGTACCTTCTATCTCACTACTCCTATGGCTTCATTTTGGTCAACCATATTAGTAGAATACCAATAGAGTAGTGTCCTTATTTTTAAGTTTCCAAGCAGAAGTAAGCATCCAACCACACCAAACAACAAGATGACAGAAGAAAAGCATTGTATATACTACAAAATGGAGTAGTTTGGGTAAAAGACTGGAGAAACTAGAATAATCTGCTATTTTTACTAGCCTTAGATTTGTTGCAGAAAAAGAGGCAGTGGTACTCTTTGAAAGTAGTACCAACAGAGAGGCATGAAGAATCACTATGAGCAGTTACAGATGTCAGCTTTAAGAGACTCTTACACCGCGAAGCACCAAGAACAAGAGAGTAACACAAAGGCTTGGCTAACACACTGCTTCAGGGCGTGCCGAACATTTCTTCATGAAGCCAAAGGTTTAAGTTTCTGAAGGTAAACAAACCCTATGAAGTACAGTCTTCAAATAAACTTCCTAAAGGCAGAGTAATAAAACATTCTCTCTTCTAGTCCAGACAACCATAATTGTGTCTCAATTCAGTCCACCTGAGAGTGCAAGAATTTTACAAGCAAATTGATGTGGGTGGCGAGAACAAGGCAAGACCAACTATCCTTATTCTTCACCCCCTCATCTCAATCACCTCTTACTGTCTAAAGCTTTGTAAAAGAGCTGACTACTTTTTTTCAATAGAACAGCCAAGTAGTATCCGCATCTATAGCTATGAAGTACTGCAATACAAGGAATTAATTAGTGTATCATACCAGTATAGAGAGTCTGCATATATAAATTTAAGCATTTTTCTCAGAAAAGCTGGATACACTCAATTTGAAAGAAAATGGAGCTGTTGGTAATAAAAGCATCAAATAAATAACCACTGAACACAGAAATCTTTAACACTTAAGTATGCAATTTAAAGGACACCGAGTTTTACTAATATGCATAAATACGTAATGTAATCAGACTGTCACAACCGTACCGCATCCAGTGCACACCTGGGTTCAGACTGTCCCTATGTATAGCTATAAGGTTATAAAAGCATCAGTAAAAACAGGTTTACCAACCTCCTCAGGGTAGAAGTACTGAAGATGACTGAGGGGGAAGACTGATTCAAATCCATCTCTGAACGAGTCAAACTGTCTGGCAACACCTTCATTTAGTGCCCAGAATATAACCAACTGCAGGGAAGAAAAAAAAAAAAAAAAGGGAAAAAAGCCATTTGAACAAAGGAAGCATGGCATGATCACTACTGTACAAAAGACTACAGCTGCAGAAAAAAAACTCTGCAGAAGCCTAGCCATATGTTCCCTGTAGTCGTGGCAGAGTTTGAACTTTGATTCATGGAGCTGGCTCTACAACATTGCTCCATTCTGCCATAATTCATAAGTTCCTACTGCTGCATGTGTGCAAGTGCAGTGCTGCTGCAATGTAACAGACAGGATTTGTTGGTTTTTTTCTTCACAAGTTTCTCACATGGTCTGCCATTGCAAATTAGCAGAACTCTAATCTGAAGTTCATGCAACCCCGTATTTAGAACGCCTTAAGTATGCAAACCATGCAGAGTTTAAACAACTTATTTCCCTTTTTTTTGACAAAACAAGGTTAACACATGAAATTCTGATAGTTAAACTGACCTTATTGAACAAAATATTTTAAAACAAATCTAAACACTTATTAGATATTTTTTAGAAGCCTAACCTAGACATTCTCTCTGTACACTGATATCCATTTAAAATGCAACAACTGAAACAGAAATCCCTAGGGCATTATTGACAGTATTATATTAGTTTCCCCCATGGAAACATATGGGTCCCTTTTCTAATACACAGTTCCAAAAAGTAACTTCAGACTTTTTGTTTTATTAAGTAGCTTACTATTATAAGAATACATGGCGAAAAGATGTCATTTCACTTAATGTTACTAGGACTTGATAAGAATCATAAGGCAAAAGACATTAAGACAGCAGCCTAGACCTTTTGTGCATGTATTTTGTTTTGGTTTTGTATCTGCAGTTACCCTCTCAGGATTAAATTCACCTTCTGAAGCGGACAGCACATACTGAAACAACAATCACTGGGAGGAAAGGAAGGGGACATGACACAAACATGACCAAATTTCTTTTAAACTTCCTGCAGCCAGTCTTTCTCCACTAAATTAAAACATGCATTATACATGGCAGACTGCGTGCCAAGTTCAGATTCTTTTGTCAGTTAGTGGTACCGATGATTACATACTTGCCTTGGCTACCCCCAACTCTAGTAGGAAACAAAGGCTGGTTGTAAAAGCTGTGTTGTCAACACACAGCTACTAGTTTTTAAGTGCGTTAAAAGTGCTGACCTGGAATCTGAGAAAAGACATCATCTTTTAAAGACATCTAAGGATGCATCTGAATACGATTAAAAACCTCATTGATACTGCTGGACTCCTGAAGCAATTATTTAACCCTGTCCCAATAACTGAAGAGTCACTTGTTCCAGAAAACTCTCAGATACAAAAGCCTGTTAGGATCTGTTGATAAGCTTTCTTACAAGTGAGTCAAGCATTGATTTTCAGGTAAAATATATAATGCTACCCAACACATCAGGTTGCAGTAACTGAAGAGCAAGCTAGTAAGCACCAGCAGCACAGAAGGCGATTCTATAATGTAGAATATTCTATGGCTATTCTAGCAGCAGAGTTGCCGACTTAGAATTGTGATTACTTTTCTTGACCAGGAACGTGTAGCAAAATTCAGCTGCACTGTACTCTTATGGATTCAAAGAGAAAATCAAATTGTCAGGCAAAAAACTGCACTCCTGAAACATTTTGTCCCCTAATTTAGAACAAGCCAGTTGGTCTCTTTCTTTATAGTCCAGCAGAGAAGGGGGGATGGAAAAAAAAAAGGGGGGGGGGGGGAAGGGACAAAACAAA